GCTTCGAATTGCTGCTTGAGGTCATAAAACTTTCTGGCATCCATGCGTTCATCATCTGGCGACGCAGATTGCACAGCGGGAGCCTGATCCCTAGTCTCGCACATATCTTCATCAATAACATCGTTATCAATATCAAAATTCCCTGAGTTGGCGGGAGCTCGTCACACGAGCGACCGTCACCCTTGCCGTCCATCCTCGGAATCCCAAGGAAACTAACTAACTTATAAGCCTTCAACCAATAATAATTTTACAGCTTTATTCAGTATCCAATCAAAATGAAATTGAAACTAACCTGCTCTGAATTAAGATTTTGTTCTAAACTATGAACTTGCTTGCTGCTACTCTTTCTATAGCAACAATGTCAGAAATATAAATGTTCTGGAAGAGGCACAATTAATGTGGCAATTTGCTTTGTTGCTACAAATGTCAATTGAAATAAAAATGACTATTTAAAATTTGCCATGACTGAAGCTTCTACTTTTTTATGCATGAATCTTTTATCTGCTAGGCCACCAACATGTTCAAGTTTATTTTTCATTATGGATCATCTATTGCTTTTTTGCTTCAACATCTATCTATCTGCATGATTCCCAAATCAACACACACACACACACACATACATATATACAATGGTGGCCAAAATTGTGGACACTTTTGGAAATTTTTATGTTTTCGAACTTTGTATGCTTATAGAAAATGTTATGTTTCACAAAATGCAAACTTGTATATATCATTTTAAAGAGAATTTATTACTGAATTCAATACAAAACACAAACTTCTATTATTTGCAACACAAAAAAATGTTATATGTACTTTAATATAAATAAAAAACACAGTTATGAAGTGGTTTGTAATGTCTAGCTTTCCTGGCCAATCACTGTTCTTGTTTTGAGAAATAATCAAATGTTAGTAACTGCCAGTAGAAGCTGACATCATGTTTACACTTGAAACAATTCATTATTTGGCTTTGTTCTGTAGAAGGACGACCTGTTTCTTATACACTGCAATTACGAGTAGGAATTTTTGTAAAAATTTTTTTAATATTTAGTCAAGAAGCAATGACATCAAATAAAAGAGTAGATTGGATGCCTAGAAAGAGATGTAATATTATTGTGTTACGAGAAAGTGGTCTTTCCTATGCTGAAATTGCAAGACAGGTGGGTGGTTCAGTGACTACATCTGGAGTCCGAAAGTTTTGTTTACGATATCAGGAGACAAATTCAATAAAAAGCAAAGAAGGAAAAGGCCGAAAAAAATGCACCACATCTATTGATGACAGAAGAATAAAAAGACTATGTCTCCAAGATAGAAAAATGTCGTCAGCGGCCATCAGAAGTGATCTGAATGATGCTGGTGTTTCTGTCAGTTCTAGAACAATCAGGAGAAGATTAACAGATGTTGGACTGAGAGGTAGAATTCCACGAAAAAAGCCTTATCTTAATATTCAGCAACAAAAAAAAAAAAAAAAAAAAAAAAAAAAGACTACAGTGGGCAAAGGAACACATTAATTGGACAGATGATCAGTGGTCACAAGTTATATGAAGTGATTAAACTTAAGATATCATTATTCGGTTATGATGGGCGAAAATATGTAAGGCGTAGAATAGGAGAAGAGCTACATCCTGACTGCATTCAAGCAACTGTGAAGAGCCCAGTTAGTGTTATGATTTGGTCATGCATGTCAGCAGATGGTATTGGTCGCCTTCATGTCATCGATGGGACACTGAATGCCAGAAAATACATTGACACTATTCTAGAACCAAAACTTCTACCTTCCATCAGAGATCTTTTTCCCAACAATGCTTTGTTTATTTTTCAGCAGGATTCTGCTCCTTGCCAAATGGCCAAAATATCGAAAGAGTGGTTTCATACAAAGAGCATTAAATTGTTGTCATGGCCAGGAAACAGTCCTGACCTCAGTCCTATCGAAAATTTGTGGCACCGTTTGAAAACTCTTGTCCGAATGAGGCACCCATCAAATAAAAGGGAACTAATTGAGGCTATAATTGTTTCCTGGCATCATGTAATAACAAAAGAAGAGCTTAAAACTCTTGTCAGCTCAATGAAATGTCGCTGTGAAGCTGTAATAAAAAATAAAGGGTACCCTACTAAGTACTGATAACTCACTGCAATCATCACTATCTAATGTATATCGATGACTATTATCGTTTAACTTTTTTTTGTATTCAAATAATTGAATTTTGTGTTTTGTATTGAATTTAGTAATAAATTCTCTTTAAAATGATATATACAAGTTGCATTTTGTGAAACTTAATGTTTTCTATAAGCATACAAAGTTCAAAAACATAAAAATTTCCAAAAGTGTCCACAATTTTGGCCACCACTGTATATGCCTCAATATCTCAAAAGCTATTTCATTGCATAAAGAAAGCGCATGAAAATGAAAAATCAATGGCTACTGTCATGAAATTGAAGTACTAACCTGATTATTGTTTCACAATGATATACTTCTTTCATATCTAGCGTATTGTGCTTTGTTTGTTATTTAGAATGTGTTTGATCAGTAAAAATGAAAGTCAGAATGTTTTTAATTCACAGCAATTCCTTGATTCTGAATTTTGCAGTTATGTGTACACTGAGTACTATCTTTATACAAATCTGATTCAAGTTATATTTGTATGTAGCAGCTTGTTGACCCTACAAGTGTTCAGCTGATATTTTATTTTATTTGAATTATAAGGTGTGACACACACAAAAAAAGACTAGTCCGATAGATCATTGTGCTTACAGAATCAGTTCTCCGTGACATTATCACCTTCAAAGTAGTCCCCTTCAGCATTCACACACTTCTGCATTCAGTGCTGACATTGCTGATAACAGTTCTGGAGCGAGGTTTTTGAAGGTCCTTCAGAAGATTCTCTGTTTTTGCTTGAACTACTTCATCTGAGGTAAAATAGGTTCCCTTTAAGCAAGATTTAACTTTAGAAAATAAGAAAAAAGTTGCATGGAGCCAAATCAGGTGAGGTACAAGGAGGATGCCTGATCACGGTAATGTTTTTACTGGTCAGAAACTGCTTGACAGATAGGGCTGTGTGAGTAGGTGCATTGTCCTAATGCAACAGCCATCCATCACTCCACAACTATGCTCTTTTTTTTCCTAATTTTTTAAAGAAGTCTTAGTGCTTCAATGTAGTAGTGCTAATTAACAGTCTCACCACTGGGAACCTACTCGTCATTCAAATTCCATTAATGTCAAAGAAGACAAATAACATTGCCTTCAATTTTGATTTTGACATGCATGCTTTTTTGCATCTTGGGGATCCTGGAGACTTCCACTGCATTGACTGGTGCTTACTTTCTGGATCATAGGTAAAACTCCATGTCATCACATGTTACAACAAGAGTCCAACAAATTTGGCTCGTTTGCAATGCTTTCTATCATGTCCACATACATGTCTTTACAACACTGTTATTGGTCATTGGACAGAATGTTTGGAACAACCTTCACACAAATCTTTTTCTTTAGTAATTCGTCCGTTAAATACATCGAACAGTTTCCCTATTCAAGTTAACCAACTCTGCCACTGCACGAACACTTAATTTTCAGTCACCCTGGATCACATCATGAACTTTGGCAATGTTTGGGTCTGCAATCGCTGACCTTGGGTGCCCAGTACGTTCATCACCCCTGAAAACTGCTTATACTATTCAAACACACATGCACAAGACAAAGTTTCATCCTCATAAGTCTCAGTTAGCATTTGAAAGTTTCCGTGCCTGATTTCTTAAGTTTCACAAAAAACTTGATGCTGATTCCGTTTTCACATTAGACATTTTTTAGCAGAAATCAGTTGAATGTGTTCACTCAATGACACACTATTCGTAATTGGCGTGATCAGTTAAGTCAAAACTGGCTGCATGGATAGAGGAGGTGTGTGGGATTGTGGGATGACGTCACCAAAACAGTTGTTGCAACTCCACTCTTTTTTCAAGCTACACACTTGGTCTCTCTCTCTCTCTCTCTTTTTTTTTTCCTTTCTTTTTTGTCTTACACCTTATATTCTCATATTTAGAAGCTATAGCTCACTAGCAAAATTTAGTGGGAAAAACAGTTTTCAAGCTTGAGAAACCGTAATTTCTCTGGAATAGGAATAGCTTGTGAATTTCAAAGTTTTCAAAGAATTTTTGTTAAAAATTACAAATCTCAAAATATAAAGGACATTAGTTCTGAAGAACTGAGATTTTCCTATGTAAGCTTTGAGATTTCCTGCAATTGATTTTCAAGCATAATCTCTATTCAGAGACTTTGCTAAAATCAAGTGCCTGTTTTAAAGAATTTATATTTAAGTGTATTGACCTCAAGAGTAATTATGTAGAGAAATAAATCATTGTAAAGAGCTCTTTTGTATTATTTCTGCATGAATATACTGGCCCTTGTCTGATTTCTGAATATAGTTGCCTTCATGTGTTTTCTGCATATGAACCTTTATCTAGGTGCTGTTTTCTTCAGTCATGTGGTTAGCATTCTTGGAAGTTTGTTGTAGGTTACAGAATTAAATAATAAAAGGAAGCACTTATCCTCCCTTCCCCCCTTTCACTCACAAAAATTTTAAGAGAAATGTGTTTGTAGTACCATATTAATTTGAATTTAAGCTAAACTTAATTTACATATTTTAAGACATAAAATTAGGGTGTAGCTTAAAATCAAAATGAGTGTTCTTACAGCTTATTTCTGCAGACTTATGACTCCCCAGTAATCAGATCTTAAATAACTAAGGTCTCAAAATTCAAAATGATTTTAACAGATATTTGTCAATGCCTATTATAAAAATTGCTCTTATTTTTTATTGTTATTTTTTTAATTTTAAAATTCTGCTGCAACTTAAATTCAAAGTAATATGATAAATTCATAGAAGTGTGATTTTTGAAATTGTCATGGTTATCAAAAGGTTCTTATTGTACCAATTTGTAAATTAGTAATATTTCATTTGTGTAGCGTGCATCTTTAAAATATTAAATGTTAAATTTCTTTCTTGAAGGAGATCAAGAATCAGTGTTTTGGTGGAGATTATATGGGTGAAGTTTTTGATCACATGTTAAAGAGAATGTCATACAGGAGGCAAAAGCGATGGTGGAATGCTTACATTTTATTTTATCGGAGAGTGGATATGGAAACAAATATTACAAGAAGCTTAAATGAATTGACACTATGTAAGTGTGTTAAAATCTAATATTTAGAGCATTCTGATTTATACTGTTTGTAAATCTCAAATCAGTACTTTTTTCTTTAACACTGTTATTTACTTTACAGCTGACAATAAACAATGTGTTGTAAAGATGCCTGCTGCCATTGAAAGAAGTGTAAGGCGGCAAAACATCAAATTCATGCATAACAGAAACCAGTTCAGTTTAGAATATTTTCAATTTATGAAAAAACTTATATTGTGCAATGGTCCATATGTTACTATACCTGGTGGTCATGATAAATTAGTAAGTAAAAGTTTATTATAGTATTGGCATCACTTGATTACATAGTGAATGAGTACTTTTGGTATTTTTTTAACTGTGATAGATTAAATTAAATGACTGTGATGGATTTAACCAGTTAAAGGCCATGATAGATTTAACTTAATTAGTGCTGTTAAATTGACTGATAGGTATAGATATATATATACTATATATATATATATATATATATATATATATATATATGATTTTTATGAAACCAAAAATATTACTTTATGGAAACACTAGCAAAAGTGTTTAGAATGCATTTGTACAATAATATCAGTCTTTGATAGAACAGTATCTTGAGTTTCGTATTTTATATTAATTACATTTTAATTTATAGACAGCAGATGGTGAAGAATTAGCTTTAATAAGTATTCAGTTAGCAGCAAAATTTCTTTTTACTACTGGTTTTCATGCCAAGAAAACATTGAGGTATGTTTTTTCTCCTGCTTTGTTTCTTGCTTGTAATTTTTTAGATTATTCTATTGAATAATTAGGTACATTGTTATTTTAAATATTTTACAGAGGTCCTGCAAATGATTGGTATGATGCTCTATGTATACATCTTCGTAACAGCTGTAATGTCCGCCGATGGTTTGCAAATAATGTGCTGTTTAGTAATCCTCATATCTTTTGTGAATACCTACTTGAATGTCCTGGTTCAGAGGTATAGTTATAATTTGCAGTTATTCATTATAACTGAACATTTGAATCTCATTTGCATGCTAATCTTTTCATAATGGAAAAGAGATTTTTATTAATTTGGAATAAATATTCATTAATTAACCTCCATCTTGTATATATTGTGTAGGTTCGCAGTGCCTTCATGCGCATTTTAGTCTTCATTGCTCATTTTGCTTTACAAGATGGCCCTTATACCCCTCCAGCATTTGCAAATTCACGTATGTCAAAATATTTATTAGCTGTTAATGTTATTTTATTTTATATTACAAAGTAAATATAGTTATTAGTTTTGAGGTTATACTATCACCATATACTTGTGTAACTATCTGTACATTTTATGCTATTATAAATCAGAAGTATATAAATCGTAAGATAAGATATTTATGAAGGGAGAAGAAATGCAAATAAATATCACATATTTATTTTGCTTTAGAAAATTTTGAGCTACATATCAGTAATAAATTAATATTCCTAATAAGTATTTTTTATGTAGTATGTAAGTATTTTCTAAATATGTAATTATATTTTTAAGTATTTACAGTCAAAAGTCGTTAATTCGGACACCCATAATCCGGAATGATCTATAATCCGGACCTCAAAGCTACAAACTTTCTGCGCATGCGTCGCGTTCACGCATGCGCACAGGCGTTTACGAGAGCGCGTAAGACCCTTACGGCTGCGAATTATGTTTGTGCGCATGCGCGTTTAATGTGTAACGGAGTTATACGCTAAGTTACAGTTATCTAATTCAGTTAATGTTGCAGATTGCGTTGTTCCTTAATCTTCGAATTGGAGCCGGCTTATTATTTTTTGCAGACTGTTAGAGCAATTTTTATAAAAGTAAGCTTGAACTTTCGATTATGTCAAATAGAATTTCGGATATATATTTACTACAAAGCGAAAGTATGTTTTGAAATCCGAAATCTGTTTGTCATTATTAGATTATGATAGATTAGAAAGATTATGTCAAATAGAATTTCCAATATATATTTACTAATATGTAATTTGTATCTACAAAGCGAAAGTATGTTTTGAAATCCGAAATCTGTTTATCAATTTCAGGCTGCAGATTGGAAGTTGATCTGTCAACACTATCCTTATCTTCAGAGCAGATGTTTTTATTTTATTTGGATTATAATTCTGTACTAAGTTTAGTATTTCATCTCCATGTACTCTGTCTTTGATATGATTTAAATCAAGTTCCTCCTCATCACTTCAGATAGTGAAGAAAGTGACCCAGAGGTTATTGAAAACGAAAACATTTCGATTGACAAATTAGTCCCTATTCTCAACACAACAACCTTACAGCATCAAAGCAATTATAGGACTTGAACAGCGGAACTTTGTAACTAAACAAGAAATTATGTCTGTTTAATAGAATTAAAGAGAAAGTATTATCACATGAAACGAAGCAACTTACATTGAAGGAAATGTTTAATAAAGTAAACAAATAAATATTAAGCTTTTTCTTTTTGTAAATTTTGATACCCTTTAGATCATAATTGTTCTTTATTTCATAAATTACGGTTTCATATTTTTAATTATGTAATTTTTGCATGCCATCTTACCAGATTTAAACTGATGATCTATAATCCGGAAAAATCGATAATCCGGAATCGCCGAAGTCCCGACGAGTCCAGATTAACGACTTTTGACTGTATTTGTTTTTTTAAATTATGAATTAATTCTTTTTAGTTTCTTATTGGTTTATATAAATTATATCTAGTTCCTTTTTGATTGATATGCATATTCATGTCGGGGAGGTTTCTGTAGACAAGGGTTTTTAAAATGCATTGGTTTCTAAATTAATTTTTCTAAAAAATTTAATTAAAATTTTTTTAAAAAATTTTAATTTAATACTAAACTTTACATTGCTTAATTCTGTTAATTTTTTTTTTAAATTTTAATTTAATACTAAACTTTACATTGCTTAATTCTCTAAATACTTCATCATTGGTATTTTCCTTTTAGACCTTTATTTTAATTGCTAATTTCTAAAGGTACCACTTTATTGGTATTTCTTTTTGGACATTCTTCACTATGTATTTACTTTTGGTTTTGACTTTTACCCTTGCCTGCATGAATGACAAAACACGAATTGAATGATTGTAGAGTTAGATTTGGAGGCAACTTCCCCTTGATAAGTCTGTCTCCTGCCTGCTCAACAGTCATTCACTTATGCATTTTTTAAAAAAATTTTAGATTAATTTTAATTTGCTAAATTGGTGAATTTATTTTCATGGTTGGTTTTGCACTTGATTTACTTATGCTATCTGAATTTAAATGATATTGTAGATTAGTTCGAAAAAAATCTTTTATATGTTTTCACATTTTTTAATTATTTTAACTTTAAATTTGCTTTTTGCGTATATACATGTTTGTTAAAATTTAAATTTTATTCCTTGCAGCAATGGCGCAAAGAATTAATTAAATTTGTATTTAAATTCAATTTATTCTTTTGAAACAATTAATATTCCTAATTATATATTAACATGTTCATTATGTGTTGTATGGTTTTTCATAGTTTCACAAATTATCTTTCATAAACTGTAATTGAAGTTCATGACATTACAGTGAAAGACAGTTCATGCATTCCTTTAATGTGGGGGAGAGGAGGAGAAAACTTGCTGTCTTTTACAAAAATTATATTATAATGATTTTGACTTTATGGATAAAAATTTTGAAATTTCATTCTATATATAAAATATTTTTTAATCTATATATACCACATTTATTTGGTTATAAAAAAATGCAAATTATGGTTCAGAATAGTGTTGCCTTTAAAAAAGTATATAATGTAGTAGTAATATCTAATGTATAATATTCTTGTCAGAAATTGTTTATTAATTTAAGCTATGCAAATGATCTTAAACTAATATATTTAAAACATCTGTAATAAACAGAGAGGTTGTGTATGTGTCTGCTTGCATGTATTGGATAGCGCAAAAACAGATATGCTCAGATATCCATATGGAGATTATGTATACATAGAATTTTATCAAAGTTCAGCCCCACCCCAAATTTACTGTAAAAAAAACTTCTTTTCTTCCTTTTCCCTCCTGTAAATTTTGCATATCTTTTCGCTTAATGAACAAAATAAAATCCTTACTTTACTGGATGGCTTATGCCATCCAGTATTCAGTAAAGCAGAGAAATAAGTCTTTTAAATGAAGTGCATTCTGGATTTTTAACATAGTTTTCCAATTTTTCACTCATTATCTTGGCTGTTTTTAAATTCTGATATCCACAAATTTGTATTATAAAATTTAGAATATTCAAAGGAAAACTAATTGCCATCTTTCAAAACAAGAATGATATTTATAAAAAAAAAAAAAAAAAAAAATGTTAATTAGATATTTTTTGCTAGATTTTGGATACTTTTTATATTTTTTCCCGAAATTTATAGCACTCAAATTTTATATAGGGAAAGTTTTCCTTCTTTCAAGATGAACAATCTGACAGTGATGCTTATGACGGTATAATGTCTGCTATGTATGCAAGCTATTTTCTTTCATTTCTCTTTTGAAGTGAAGTTTATTCTAATTTGCTTGTTCACAAGCAAATTAGAATTTTATTTTGCCTGAGATAATCTAATTAGAATCTTATTTTGCCTTTTATTTGCCTGAGTTAGTTCATTTTCAGGAAAAGTTTCTTCATGTATTCAAAAATGAAAAACATTTGGAAATTTTCATGACTTATTTATTTAATGGGCATAAAATATTCATTAAATCAAGATTTTATGATTAATTTTGTTGAGGGAAGTAATTCGCGCTGAAATAAATAAATGCCTCTTTTCTTTGTATAATATCTGTATATTAATTAAATTTGTGTAAAAAAGTAGTATATATTTTTTCTTGCATATACTTTTAATATATTTTTATATGAATCATTTTATATGGTCATCATTTTTAAATTCATCCTATTTTCTTAACAGCTTATCCTGTAGATTCAAGTGCCACTTTAGCTGATCACTTGATTATGGCTGTTCTAAATTTGTTGAAAAAAGAAGTTTCTGAGCATGGTAGACATCTTACGCAGTACTTCAGTCTTTTTGCTATGTTTGCCTCTCTTGGAGTTGCTGAGGTAAAACATGTGTTTTATTGTATACTGATAAAATGTTTAAAAGTTAATCTGGATACTTTCTAAATCTGTTATAATGTAAAACTATTTACACTATCCTCTATATTTTGCAGAGAACCATGTTATTACAATTAAATGTGCCTGCTACGTTTATGAAAGTTGCTTTGGATGAAGGGCCTGGACCTCCAATCAAATACCAGTATGCTGAACTGGGCAAACTGTATCAAGTTGTTAGTTTACTAATTCGTAGCTGTGATGTTAGCTGTAAAACACAATCATCTCATGTAAGAAGTCTTTTTATTATACTCATATAAAGACTAATTTACTTGATGTTGACATTTCTTGTCATGTTTATGTGATAGCTTAGTATTCTGTAGATCAATTGATGTTGCTTAGGACAACTATTTGCCTTACTTTATGAATTATATAAAACCATTGCTTTTTAAACTCATGAAATAAAAAGCCAGTATTTATAATTTTAAAGAAATTTTAGTCCACTTATGTAACAATCTTTGTCAAAATCAAAAATCTAAAATTAGACTGATACAAGATACAAATAAAATTTGCATAATTTCTTTGCGGGTATCATTAATGAAAATTCTGATATTTGTATTTAGTTCTGATTCATTTTCATAAACTGTACTGATAATGTAATAAAGTAGTTATTTGTTATAATCATTTTGCATATTTGTTTTATTTGTCAGTGACATAATCTTTAGATTTGTATTTATATTTTTATTCTGTGTCTTATCTCCACTGAGGATAGAATATTAATTTCTGCTCTTTAAAATTTTTAAAGGGTGGAGCAACATTACCTAATCCCTTTGTGGGTGACAATATTTACCAGGAATATCTAATGCCTATACAACCAGAAGTTGCTGACATTTTGTACAATAATACATGGTAAGCTAATTATTTGAGCTTAATATATCAAGTAATAATAATATATTAATGTTGTGGAATTCAAGCAAAATCAAAATCGCTTTTGCTTCTTGATTCGTTTCACTAGATTATTCAACAAGTGTTCGTATATATATATATACATATATATACACACATATATATTAACAAAAAATTAAAAAATTTAAAAAAAAAAAAATTGAAATAAATCACATAAAAAAAAAATGCAAAAAAAAGTGAAATTTAAGTCTTTTGTTGCTGTATCATAGTTGGGGGGGTTGGTGCAGGGTGGTGGTCCAAATTGAATAGGAGAATGAATTTTAAACATATTTTTATTTTACTTTAGTTTACATTATGCATTATTATCAACTCCTGTTGTTGCTGTGAGCACACAATTAGATTAGATTTCAGCCCCCCCTTTTTTTTTACTTTGTATTTGTATTTATTTATTTATTTATTTATATAAACCAAAGTTTAGAAATTTCAAGTTAATAAATTATTAAAGTTATGCAGTATGCTGTGAAATTAATTAAATAATTGAGAGAAAACTATAATTAAATAAAAAATTAGATCATGAAAGGGGTGGACAGGAAATGCCACACTTGAAACAGAAACATTTCAATAAAATTAATATAAATTAACAAAATTAATAAAAGTATATACAAATTTTGAAAATTTCTTGCTCTTTTTCAAGCAATTTCACAGGGTCTATGCTTCTTAATTATACTTGGATGATTGTGAATTCAAAATAAAAGAAAGTGCCAATTGATAAAATAAATAAAAAATTTAATTTAATTAAAATAAAATAAAATTATCAATTAAAGATTTAATTAAAATAAAATTATCGATTAAAGTGCTCTTAAAGTGCAACAAAGTATTTTTTAAATTTAATGAATCATCAGTATATAATATGCTTCCACATGATCCTAAGATGGTAACTGTAAAGGTAAATGTTCCATTCTTTAATGTAAATTCTTGATTAAGAAACTAGAACCATTGGGTAACTAAAAGCTATGTTCTAAGTAAGTATTAAATAAATTTTAAACCAAAGAAAGAAGCAGAGAAACCAAAGAATGCAAAACTTCAAAAATTAAAATATTTCAAATCAAAATTCCTAAGGAAAGGAATTTATAAAGAGAAATTTACTAAAAGTAAAAAAAGTGTTTAATAACAAATGCAGGAAAGTTTCCAAATTGAATAAAAAGTGGAAGACTTTTTGCATAAAATTAGGAAATTAAAAATTAATTTAAAAATAAAATTGAATCAATTAATTCGAATAAATAAATTTGAATGGAAAATTAAAACCTGAATGAAGTGTTGTTACTGCCGAGAATGCCGGTAAGAGAACAGATTCGAATTGAGGAGTAGATTGGTAGAGTGATCAATTGGAAATAATATAAAGCAAGAACAGAGTTGAGAGGTAAAGAGGACTTAAAATACTGGACATTGTAAACTGATTCAAACATACTCCAGATAGCTGCCAATTTGCTCTTTTTATGTCTATCCTGTCTTGTTGATTTATCATCGAATTGAAGACAACTTGCCAAAAGAAAAACTCACTTATAGCCCATTACAACTGTTGCTTTATCTGCAGGCCCAGCAGCGATATGGGGGGGGGGAATTGTCATTTACTTTGCACATGACGCATGTTCTGGTAGGTTAATGAAATTAATTTTTTTTATTTTGAATTCTTAATCATCAAGATATAATTCAGAAGAAAATTCCTTAAAAAAAGATCAAGGAATTTTCAATAATTTTGTATATTTAGCCCAAAGGGCATTAGCCCAGAAGGGCTCTTAATTTCGTTTTGCCATTTTAAGTTTGTTCACTGTAAATTTCGGTTCACTTTTCAAATTGTTGCCACCAATTATTATCACCCTGTGTTATATTTAAAGAAATTAAATAATGAAGAATCTGTGTAAATGTACGTATGTTTCTTGCATTGTGATAAAAAAAACTATACCTTGAGCCATCAAATTTCGAATTAAGTAATCTCCCATCAAATATGGTCAGCTAGAAGCCCTAATTTGGAATTTGTTTTATTATTGATTTCATATTTAGTAACACTTCAACAAATTTTTGATTAACAAACTCAACGATTTCAAAGCAAGCAATGCCAAAACTGTATGGGGACTCACACACGCGAGACTGTGTATCGGAAATTCCAAAAATATACTCATTTTAAAATTATTTTGCGATATTGCGGTTAAATTGAATTTCATGGTTTAAGTGCAAAGAACATTTAATAAATAAAGGTAACACAGAAAAGGTTAAAAAAAGTTCCTTTGGTCATAATGTAAAATCTGAAAGCTTTCAGCTTTATATATATATATATATATTTATATTTATCAGTTTTTTAGTCTCATACTGCAATAATTTTATTGAAATTTTTGGTGTTTTTCCACTAAGTATACAATAGAATACTTGATAAAACTTTATAAAATAAGATGCAAATTATCCAATTCACATTTTGATTTATTTAACACAAGTTGCTTATGTGAGCCTGGAAATATTGCAACATTTCCGAAATCGAAACAATAGGAACATTTAATAGCGTACCTCCCAATATCAAGTCTAGAGTGTCAGTGAACTTCGATGCCTGTGTGCTTCTCCTGTCTTCAAGCCGCATAACCACCTTTTTTCCTTTGTTTTCATCCGACGTGCGCCTTTCAAGAAATGTAGTCTGGTGGTCGCTACAGAAATGTTTCTGTTTTGATGTGTTTATGTTCTTATAGAATATTGAATCCTTTCTTCATCTAATTTTTTGTGTAATTTTTGGTTTAATTATTAGTGTTCTTGAATGTATATATTCTGTAATACTGTATATATGTACAGTATTATGGAAATTTTTTTACAACAAAAATATCCCCAAACTATTTTCACACGAATGCTGCTGGAAAGTTAATTTCATTTCTTTTGCGTCTTTGTGGAGTTGGTTTGGATTTCATTACTTTTTAGTCTATAATTATATATAAATATATAAATTTTTGCACTTTTTTAGCAAAATAAAATTTATTTAATTATCAAGTTGAATAAATTCATTTTAAGGGGGGTCTTAACTGTGTAAGAAACATTTTTTTTTTTTTTTTTTTTTTTTTGGTAATATTTACCATAAGCTTTATTTTTCTACTTCATTTCAGTTATCTGAAAAAAATTGTAGAAGATGCAAATAATTCGGAAGATACATTAAGGCTTTTAAAGGTAAGGACTTCTTACTGTATTGTGAATGTTTGTTTATGATATGTGACTCTTCAGTTAAACTTTTATAATATTCCTTTTTGTGTATGTTATGAACTGATTAATAAATCATTGTCTGTCGTCATTATACATGTTGCTGTGTAAGTGCTATTATTATCTATTTTATGGTCATTATGAGTAACTGATAACATTACAGCATTCCCAATTACCTGGAAAGTTGGGGAAATGTAAAATGGTGAGGGAAGTTATAAATGTTTTCTAAGAATGGGGAATAATCAAAACTTTTCCCAACATGTCAGAGAAAGGGAACAGAGTATAGATGAGTTTTTCAAATATTCAAAAGTATGTGTTTTGAATAGTTACCAATAAATTATCATGTCATAAAAAAGAAAGCAGATGAAGAGTTATTGAATTTTTTACTTGCATTCATGCAATTTTATCAATGTATACTTCACCCTTCAATTTAGAAAAGTAACTGTTGCATTACTTCTCTCTGTAAAAGTAATATACTGTCGTTCAAGAATAGGTAAGTCACCAAATTGTGTGACCTAAATTATTAATACATTTTTCAGTTAATTCTGTTTCAGTGTAATTCTGTTATCCTAAATTTTATTTTGGAATGTATTTTCATTATGAATAATTTACTGTTATAAAATTTATTTTGCAAATGAACAGTTTCCTCCTAGATTTGATATTTTTTTTAATCTTAGCCACTTTCTCTAATGGTTTAAAAACCTATTTCTTATATACATTTTGTATTTGCATCACATTAATAAATTAGATAAATTAAACTTTTATTATGTTTCTAGTTATTTCATTTTATTTTCTTCTAAATAAAAAATGATCACTTGTATTTAATTTGATAATTAGATTTGATCATGGAAAACCAGGGAAATTAAAAGTTAATTTGTTTTTAATTTGGTTTTGATCACCATTATTTGAATAACACATTATTAGTGAATATGTTAAGTATTGTTAATTAAAATAATAAATTATGTTAGCTGTTTCAATATTTTTGTCACTTCCTAAGTAATTCTGTTGAATATTGCGTAAGTTATACTGCTCTTAAATAATATTGTATATCATTATAAAAATATCTTATTTGTTTTTAATTTATTTAAAAACAATATCGAATGTATTGGATTAGTATTCTTAAACATTTTTTAAGGTAATATAAGATTAACAATCAAATTTCCATTCAGTATCAGAGTCTTGAAATCTTAGCTAGTGGTATAGCAAATGTACATATGTTGAGATAAAGTGAAGTTTGTGTTTAACGTAATAAATGGATGTCTTGCAATAGTAAAACATCCGAAGTTTGTGTTTAAGGTGATAAATGGATGTCTTGCGATCCTAAATAGATGTATGCTGTGCAGTATAACATATAATTTTCCATTTGTAGAACAAAGACGTGAAGTAGAAATGTCTGTGTGAATTTTTTCTTGTGTAAAATTTTATCTTAAATATGGATAAATTATGTATGATTTGTAGCCATTAATAATATTGGTTCAATTTATTAAAATTACACATATTTCTGCTATAACTTGCATAAATGTTTAAGAAAATAAGGGCTCTACTCTTATATGCGCCCTAATATCACCAAATGTGTTCTGCGCTGGTTTTTGGCGTGATTGCATGTTGTATGGCAACCCTGTTGACGTTGGAAAATCTTTTGCTGGAGTGGTTTAATTGCTCGTTGGTTCGTGTCGTGCATGTTTTGAAATGGCCTGTGTAACAATGATAGATGTGGTGGAAAGGTTTTAATCACGTATTTTAGATTGTGTGGAAAGTAAATTTTAGTATTGAAAGGTACAGTGTTGGAGTCGTTAATGAGTCTTTTGTTCACGGGTGTGTTTATGAGGATTGAAGTGTATTTTTGGAATTTCTGTGGGACTTTTAAAACAGAGTCCGAAATGCGGAGCTGCTATGAGAACTCGGACGAAAAAGGGCGTTTCTGATAGTTCTTGTGTGGATTTGCAGTTAAATGGTTGCTGGTAAAGTATGTGGCTGTCAGCGAAGTTTAGGATTTGAATTGTGGTTTTCGTGTAGTAAGTTAACTTTAGAGGAAGTTTTTATCATTACTTTTGAAATTTTGAATCGCAGAAAGACGTGATATAGCAAAATCAGGGCAATTTTGTTCAGAGACAATTTGTTGTGTGAGTGGGGAAATTTTATTCAGGAATGTATTATGGTAAGTGCATTTTATTTTTATTTTGTAGAATGTTATGTTCATTGTTTTTTTTACTATGAATTTCTGTTGTTATCGTTGTTTTTTGAATTGTTTGTAATTTAGTTTATTTGGTTGATTTGTGCGCAATGCCTAGATTGTGCAATTCATAGATGCTTTTTTTAATTTAAACAGAATGCTGTGTATATGGTATTCTTTGAAATTTATTGTTGTTATGTTAATGTATTGAAGCGAGGTGTGCATAGTTTAGATTCCTTTGCTGCTTAGAATGTGCAATTCGTAGATGTTTTTTTTTTTTTTTTAAGTTAAAACATATCACGGTGTACATGGATTCTTGTCAAATATTTTTGGTTGGAAACTTTACGTTTTTGCTATCTAAATTTTTTGTTTTTGTTTTGGGTTTTTAGCTTAAATTTTGTCTACAAAACGTGGTTTTTGCATAAGCGAAAACCGCGTTTTTGGAGACATTTTAGGCGTGAAATTTTAAAATGTAGACAAAAAATTTAGGTAGTAATATGGCGGTGTGGAGTTTCTCGCCAAAAATGTTTGGCGAGAAATTTGGCAACTTGAGGGCGCATATGAGAATAGTTCCAAAATAAGTTATGACAAGAAATTTGGCGACTTGAGTAGTTCCAAAATAAGTTATTGTTTTTATAAGATCATATTATTCAGTGTATTATCATTTAATAGATTTATTTATCATTTGATTAATTTGTCCCTTTATCTCGATTTCTGATCTGATAATACAACATTTATCAGCTTATGAAGCTGATTTTAGAACCTTTAAAGCATTTTGCAGTCAACTTAACCATCAGATATTTAATTTAAAAAAAATATTGTATATCTATGAATATGACAGAAAAATGTCCATTATAAAATATTTGAATTTGGAGTTTTCAAATATGTACTTAGATTAATGTGGATCCATATTAGCTGAAAACTGATATATATTGTGTGAAGTTTTGATCAAGATTTTTTGCAAATTTCCCATTAAAGAATTTTAAGGAAAGCATGTAATTTTATTTCAGTTTTGCTCATGGGAGAATCCTCATTTTTCTTCCATGGTTTTGAATGAATTGTTATGGCAAGTATCATATTCATATACTTATGAGCTTAGACCCTACCTGGATTTGTTATTGCATATGATGCTTCTGGAAGATTCCTGGCAGAATCACCGTATCCATAATGCATTAAAAGGTATGTAAATCACTTAATTATGCTTTGATAGAATATGGGAATGAAGAGAATGCAAGTAGTATTATGTGTAAGTGCATATATATTTGTATATCCACAGTGTTTCATATGAGAAAGCTTAAATTCTGAAAATTATATACTGTGATGTTTTGTGATAAATTCATAAATTCAAAATGTGAAGTATGAAATTGTAAAATGAAATTTTCATCTTATTCTAAAAAATAAACTTTTTGATACTCAGATGGTATTTCGGTGGGAGACCTGATTTTTTGCCATATTCTTGCAAACTTGGATTACGATGCATTTCTCCTGACTCCATGTTATTTATAAAATTTCTTACCATTTTTATGTAGCTTAATCTTTTCCTGGGAGCTGGGACATTCACTGCATTAAATGAGGCTTATTAAATGAGAAATTTGGTTTACTGTGTAGATTTAAAACTTGCTACTTTTAATAGGGATTAGAAAATGGTAGACCATCTTGATTTGTTTTTCTGATCCTTGCTGACTGAAGAGTTGACTTAATAGCTTCAATATATGAAAAATTAGTCTCTATAGCTCACATGGAAAGGTTAATGCTTCATTATATACATCCAAAAGTGTGGATTTATAATGAAATCACTTGGTTTTTGTCTATGTCCTTTCATCATTATTTATTCATTGTTATATATCTTCATCATCATTTCTTAAATAATGCACATGTATCTGAAAATGTCATGTATAATTTCAAATTAGGTACTGTTGTGATTCATCTGGCTTTATACTGCCAGTGAACATAAAACAAAAGTAAGGCTTTTTCTTTGTGATTCTGTCATGCTTGTGATAATTATGTTTGTTTGCAAGTAAGATACATACTTACTCTTACATATTCACATATGTAATACACTGATGATTTTATTAAAGAAATATAATACATGATGTCTACCATTTGTCACTGTTTTTTCAGTTTCACTTGGGGTAAGGAGCAGTGTTCTTAAATATGTTCATTATTTTAAGAAAGATACTTTTCTTTCAGTATAATTTTTGTTGCTAAGATTTTTTTTAAAATTGTTTGGTATCTCTGGATATGTTATTTATATAATCTATTGATTAAATATATTTGCTCTAATAATTGTAATGAATATTATTCAAAATTTTAAAACAGTATTGAACACACCTATATGTACATTCTATTTCATATTTATTTTAGGTATTCCTGATGATAGAGATGGATTATTTGATACCATTCAGCGTAGCAAGAATCATCATCAAAAAAGAGCATATCAGTGTATAAAATGTATGGTAACTTTGTTTGTCACTTGTCCTGCTGCAGCTCAAATGTTGCAGAGTAATGGGGATTTGAAACGGAAATGGTCCAGTGCTGTTGAGTGGTTGAATGATGAACTAGAACGTGTAAGTTACACCCCCCTTTTTTTAATATAGCTTTATATCTAGACAATTATATTCTGCATAGCAGAATATAAAATTGTTTTTAGATATAACTTGAATGACAAAAATTTCAAAAATACTCATATTTTTAATAAAATATCTTGAAATTCCTGTGGGCATCAAGCTGTGAATCCCACACCTAAAGATGTGTTGTAGCTATGAATTCCTCATCTGTTTAGCTATGTATTCCTTGAACTATTTTAGCTTAGGAATTCCTCATCTACTAGTCAGAAGTGGTTGTGATTTTTTAAAAAACTCCAGTCAGAATGCAAGTTCTCCAAACACTTCAAAAGATGATGATTTCTTGGGGGCGGTTCTGGTGAATATATGGGAGAACAATTGTTTTGTAACTCAATTCATATAGTGTTAGTCTCCCCCCCCCATACACTTTATTTCCTCCTGTGTGACACGTAGGAGTTAGTGTTGTCATTTTACACAAGGACACTATCTGTTCATGAATGCTGACTGGTTCAGGTGAAGTTGATGACATAATGGCTTCAATACATGCACTGCATAATTTGCATAATAATAATCTGAATTTATGGTTTTACTCTGTCTGAAGAAGACATTATAAATGGTGCTAGCATATCACCACACAAGCAAGAGCACATTATGAGGATGAAGAGGTAGCTTTATTAAACACTCTTTCAACCAGTGAATGGATCCATTTTGATTTTCATATCAGACCCACTTTTCCATTGCTGTCCATAATTTAATACAAAATCCCTTCTCAGTTGTTTTTCAGCATGAAGACTGTTTATACTTCTATCTAACATGCCTTCTTTGTGCAATAAGGTCATAAGGGAACCCATGCATTTGATTTCTTCTTGTCTTTCACAGCCTGATGCCAAAGCTCTTTTCTGTAAACCTATATATTTTCTGAAAGTTGATGTCACAAGTAAACTGTGAAATCTTATTGGCAGAGGGACAAGCATTTAGGAGCTATAAGATCCACAAAGTATCGGTAAAATATTGGAATCATAACGCCAAACGTTGCTAAAATGCTCGTTTCACATATTTATATGAACTAATAATATGGTAAGAAGGTGGAGATCTCAATATAAAGGAAAAATAACTCATTGAAAAGAAACAATATACGTTGGGATGCTGAAAATCTGACTTGTTATTGACTTCAAACAAAATCTATTACAAGAGACAATCAATGTGCATTTCATCAAACAAACATTGAGACGGGCAGAAAGACAGTTAACATTGTGCACATTTTACAAAAGCGATAGGCTCACACTTTGCACACTCATCATTTGTCAATGAATCGAAGCAAGTAATGCATTGGTGTAGTCCACATGCCAGGTTTGTCATCCAAGTATCCGCCCTTATAAAAGCATACTTAATCAAGTTCTTGAAATGATGAGTGCTGAACTGATATAGCGAAAAGTCTGCAGGGCCAGAAAACTATTGCGATACCAAATAAGCTGCCGTGTCTCATTAATGATTGTGTCCGTTATGTAACAAACAAAAGATCTGTATTTGTCTGAAGCAACGAATATCTAGAGGCTGGATCTTTCCCGTGCATCCTTCAGGTACCAGTTCTTTCTATAGGACTTTACCATCAGGTACTTTGGAAGCAGACAGTACATGATCATACAAGAAATAGAGACATCATTACAAGACTATATCCACTATACACACTTTAATGATACTTTATGAATCCTATAGCTCCTAAATGTTTGCCCCTCTGCCCCTAAGATTTCACAGGTTGTCTACTTGTGACATAAGTTTTCAGAAATTATATGGGTTTCCAGGAAACTGGTATCAAAGGAGAGAAGGTTTACTTGTCAGGGGAGTGGTAGACATTAAATTTCTTAGCTGTCTCACGAGCACTTTGGCAGATGTGAATGATAATGTACAATAATTTTCCTCAATTTAATGATAACATTTGATAAAAATTGCTATTGAGCCTATGTTCTAAAGTTATTGAGCTTCCACAATCTGCCTCAGGAAAACCATCTGAAAAAATTGTGGTTGAATCCAACAGGTTTGTCTTGAAGTGATGTATCATCATCATGAAATTTCTCAAAGCATTGACAAATGGTGCATTCACTACCTATATGGTCCAAATACTGCATTAATAATGTCTGCTGCAAAATGAATTTGTTTTGAACTAATTAAAAAAATCACTTTCAGTTGTGTTAAGTCCATTGTCCATATGGCTTATTGCAGTATAACACTGTAATGTGCTACCAAATGCCCAACACAGCTTACCAATCACATATTTACAAAGCGCATAATGCAATCCTTCTGATGTGTGTGCTTATCTTCAATGGTCATTTCCGCCTTAAATTCAACCCCTTCAAATACATCAACCCAATGTAAATTTCTGATCATTTAGGTTCTTAAATTTATTATATTTAATTACCTTATAAACAAGCTTATTTCTTCTCTGTAGTTTCTAGCATGAAGTATGTATAATCAGTTTAGGATACATTCATTCATATTCATCACTAACACATCTCTCCTAGTAATTGTTCAAAAATATTTGCTTTTCATGGGAAATTGTACTTCATATAACTGCCATTCAGTGTAATATTTAAATGTGCTTCTGTTTCAAATTTTTGTTGTCATGAACTTCTACTTATTTTTTATGACACCTGTGAACTTACTTTGTGACAACTGAATTTAAATAATGATACTGGTCACACTTTAAACACATTCCTTTAATTTTTTATTTCATGTCTTATATTTATTTCCATTCTAATCTTTAACTCCTACCTTCTTAAACCCTTCGAGCCGGGTAGCGAAAACGCGCGCTTATCGCGGAGGCCGGCAGTGTCTTCCGCAAGCGTCTCTCCAGGGCCAGGGGCTTTTTTGTTACTAAGCCTCCATGAAATTTCCGAAGTATCAACGCATTGTTTAATAATGCTCTATAGAGTATTTAAACGGCTTATGCTTTATAAATATTTATATATATATATACTTTAATTACCTTATTTCTTGTTTAAATGCATATTTTACACATTTTATTTTAATTACTTACCATTTTATGACTTTTAACATTATACATCTGAAAACTAAATATATTACTTAAAATTCTCTTTTCGTATGAAAAATTTGAAAACAGGGATCTACACACAGTCCTACGTTACATTCTTTGAACTCGTAATAACTCATTTGCCGTTTTGGAGGATTTTTCCGGGAATGTGAACAAACGAAGCATCGTCGTCTCATTTTCTTATCAGTCTCTTCTGAACAAAGTTTTGGAAAATGTCTTTCAGTTAATCTTTCAGAATCAATATCTGAAATATTTTGCATCATTTCTGCTATTTCATGCTCTGTTAAACATTTTCGACGCTTCGACATTGCAACGGTAAAAACAGAAAGAATTCACGTCTAACAAGATCTAATTATTTTCTAAAAACTGAACTGTAAACCAAAATACTCAACGCTTTAGCGCATATAAAACTTCTACTTACAATAAACAACTACCACGTGCGAATAAAGTGCGATTTAAAGAGACGTCATAAATCACACGCCATTCGGAAACATTTAGTTCCCCCGTTTGTTTATGTAATCAAAAACACGTGTATGTGAGTCATGCTTCTCTCATTTCGAGTAGAAGGTCTAATCTACATGTATCTGAAACCATATGGACATACAGTGCCATCTTGTGGCAGAAATTATAGTTTGAAAAACGTTCCAGGACACTGGCACAAATACGTGACAGTCGGTAGAAAACGAGAAAATGTTCTGTCACACCTGCGTGTCGGCTGGTAGGTGAGTGTGTTCGTTGCTGGCACGTAGACGTGACAGTCAGCGCGAAGGGGTTAATATGAATATAGAGAAATTTGTGGACAAATATTAGTTTCATATCATAAAATTTAGGATCATGAGTGGAATGTATGAATACTTCTACTTTAAGTGAAATCAATATTCAGTTAAATTAATAACTGAATATTGATTTTACTGATGTATTTGTATATGTACATAAATTAGTTTCAGATTAAAACTTTTAGAGGCCCTAAGCACTTCAAAGAATTTGGTATCAAACCCCCTTTCCCACACAGATATATTTATGCCAGCTTTTTTCTTCATTACTATTTCTATGCATTCTACAGTAAAACTGGCAATGGAAACTTTTTTGGTGTCTTCCCTTTCCTTGATGCCCTATGCAAATACTTATATTGCTTAACTGTTAACCCAGCCCTGTAAAAAATGTTAGCTAGCTAATCCTGGTGTATTTGAGTAAAATCCTTTAAATTTAACAATATGTTTTTTTTTTAAACTTAAAATAATGCAGCTAGAAAAAATACTTTAAAAAAAGTACAATTATTACAATATTTGAACTGTTGTATATATTCAATTTCACATAATTGTGGCATAATTGTATATATAGTTTCACATAATTGTGGCTAATCTTAGAACACATACCATAGAACATACTACTTGCTAAGAATATGTTCCAAGATCTACTACAGTTATATGAAACTAGGATTCTGAATGCATGTAATGCAGTATTTGTAGATAAATACAGAAACATTTCATTGATAAATTATTATTAGCAGTATCAATGTTTGATGAAACAATTATAAAACTGTATATTAACAGTATACTTTTGATTTTTTATTTTTTTTCCCTCTTTCTGTTTTTTAAACTCATCAAAAGAAACTTGTTCAGAAATGGTGTTTTTATTTCAAAAATTTAATTGCTACTTGAATGAAACATTTGTATCAGTAGTGGTGTAGTGAAATAAATGTACAGCTACATTTTGAATAATAAAGTATTTTCTTTATTAAATAAATATACAAGTCATTTATATGACATTAATTTACAATGAAATATTATCTAGCATCTACATTTGCTATTTTGAATCGCTCATTATTAATACATGTGAGCTAGCTAACCAAAATATTAAATTCATATCCACCAAAAGATATAGGATATAGTTTATTTGCAGTATCTTTAATTTTTGGAGTATTAATTCTTTAAACTATTAGGTATAAATTGAAATTTGCAGATCAGTATCAGAGTGAAATTTTATTTTTAATCTTAGTTTTTATATTTTTAAATAAAAAATGTGTTTTATAAACTTTTTTAAAGTAACTGTAAATTTCTAAGTATTATTTTAGAATCTGAAGATTTTGTATTGCATTTTTAAAATTTTTAGAGTCTAATTCAAGATACAAAAATGTATTTTTCAGAAGTATTATTATATTTTTCTTAATTTTTTAACTAATGTACTATGATACATATGTGCTTTGCTGAAATTTGCTTTTTTTTTTTTATTACTATTCTATCTACAGGGGCGTTTACGCATTTTTGCAAATAATTCCGATGAGGAATTTTTTTTTTTTTTTTTTAAAGTTTCGGAATGAAAATTTTTGGCAGCAACTTATAATTTAAAATGGGAAATATTATCTGTTACTTTCGAATTTTTTATTCTTTCAGAATGTCACGGGTAAATAAGCTGTGGGTTGAGGGATATGTTTTTGAACTTTCTGAAGAGAAATATGCCTATTACATAATTCAAAAGTGTTTAAGTGCAGGATATTAAAATGTCTAAGTAAGCAATATTGTTAATTGGAAAGGCACATTACTTGGAAAGAAGCAAATATCTGAAAAAGGTACATATTGTTTCTAATGTGTATATAAAGTTAAATTGGTAATAAGAGAAAAATCTACTGATGGAAAAATCATTTGTATTCAGAGTCTTTAAATACATCTGTAGCAAAATTGTATAAAATAATCAACCAAGGTTTATACCTTAAGCTAAAAATGTTCATCAGCTTTTGCTAAAGCATGTGGCTCGAGGCAGATCAGTTTGTAGAACCTTGCATGAAAACTATTTAGCAAGAGATTAATGGAAATACATTGTGACCCTTGATGAAGCATAGATTTATCTGAATGACTGCAACAAGAAAATGCCTATTTATTATTGAAAATGAAGAGTAAAATAATGTACACCCCTGATGTCATCAATTAGGGGTTTTGACTGTCACAAGATTCTCTTACAGTGGGAAATTAAAAATAAGAAGAGTGGGGGGGGGGAAATGTTAATTTAATGTACTATCAAGTTTTACATCCAATATTTACAGAAGAATTTCTTCTGGAATAAAGTCAGTGGGATATTTCCATTTCTTTATCCCACTGATTTTCGAAGAGTTGTTACTTAATCAAGGCAGTGCAACAAGTTGTACTTCATAAAGTACTACTGCATACATACCTTGAAGAAAAAATGAAGACTGATGCAAATATTGCGTATGTACCTTTTCAACATATTCCTGCAAATTCCTGTGACATTTCATCTGTAGAGACATTCTACATCTAGAAAAACAGCTCTTTCGACATGTAAACTCAACACGATTGATGAATTCTGGAAAGGAATGCAAACCAGTACCCTTGGAAATTTTATGAAAAGACCTTTTATTATGGAAATCACAATGCAGACTTATAGTCAAGGAAAAAGGGGTATCAGATGGAACATTAAAAAAAAATGCTCGTTATGTTTAAAACATTATTTAAACAGCCCTGAAATCTTTCTAAAAATGTGGTTGATGATATTGATGATGAATTCAGCATTTTTCTTGTCCCGTACTTTGTTTATTTTTTACTCACTTTGTAAAGTACTACTGAACACAACAGAAGTATCTCACTATTGTGAGATACTTCTGGGATGTATTTAATTTAATACTGAAGAATTGCAATTATTTTGAATAAAAATGAAGACGTTTTGTACAGTCAAAAGTCGTTAATTCGGACACCCATAATCCGGAATGATCTATAATCCAGACCTCAAAGCTAAAAACTTTCTGCGCATGCCGCGTTGACACATGCACACAAGCGTTTACACGTGTGCGTAAGACATTGACTACTGCGCATATGCGTGTGCGCAAGTGCAGAATACGTTTTCCCCTGCGTGTTTAATGTATAACGGACGGTGTAAGCTAAAATTATCTAATTATCTATTTCAGTTAATGTTAATGATTGCGTTGTTCCTTAATCTTCGAATTGGATCCCGCTTATTATTTTTTGCAGACTGTAAGAGCAATACTATAAAAGTAAACTTGAACTTTCGATTATGTCAAATAGAATTTCCGATGCTGGAGCTCCCAAAGGATCGTACAAAACGAAAGTATGTTTCGATGTCCATCAAACAAAAAGTGGAATTGCTGCAAAAAATGGATAAAGACATGAAGAATGTGACAGAGAGGTTAGTGAAAATGAAAAAATTTTGATTGACAAGTTAGTCGTTATTCTCGGCACAGCAATTAACGAGACTTGAACATCGGAACTTTGTAACTGAACAAGAAATTATGTCTTTTTATAGAATTAAAGAGAAAGTATTATCACATAAAAAACGAAGCAACTTAAACAACTTACATTGAAAGAAATGTTTAATAAAGTAAACAAATAAATATTAAGATTTTTTTTGTGTGTATGTGTGTAAATTTTGATACCCTTTAGATCATAATTGTTCTTTATTTCATAAATTACGGTTTCATATTTTTAATTTTATAATTTATGCATGCCATCTTACGCGGTTAAACTGATGATCTATAATCCGGAAAAATCGATAATCCGGAATCGCCGAAGTCCTGACGAGTCCGGATTAACGACTTTTGACTGTATTAAAATTTTAAGTAAAATAATCTTTACTGAAAAGCATATAAATCATTTACGAATAGAAAAGCAAAACTGTACTAAATTTCCTTACCAACATTTTGTGCATTTTTTAATACTTCTGATTAAAACCATGTATTATTAATGCAGCCTATTATAAGTATTTTTCACCTTATATTCAAAATGGCAGAAAACTGCCATGATGTTTTTTGTTTATAACATTCTTGTCAAATAAATATCTTAAGTCTGTACAATGGACAATGAATTCAATGATTTTTTCTTTTTTTTTTCCTTCAGAGACCTTATGCAGCCAATGCTCAATATGGATATAATAATTGGTCTCCACCTGCACAATCTAATGAAACATCAAATGGCTATTTCTTGGAGAGATCTCACACAGCTCGTATTACTTTAGCTAAAGCTTTTGAAATTTGTCCTGATGAGGTAGAGTATTTGAAGAACTGAATGCTTTAAAAAATGTTCTCCTGCAATGAATATAATTTTTTAATGAATTTTATTGTAATAAGATACGTTTTAAAGTCATGTTTATTTTTATGTGAAGGATATCAAATTTGCTCCTCACACAAGTTTTTAGCATTGTGAAGGTCTACTGTATTTGTGCAAATAAGTCTTGAATGTAATTAAAATGCTGTACTTATTAATTAATTGTTTGTATTGTAGGAAATATAAGTATCTTTAAGAACAGTTCTTTTTTTTTTTTTTTTTTTTTTTTTTTTTTTTTGAGTTGTCAAGCCATTTTGACAATTTCAGCAGGTAGGTAAACTTAAAACCCATGTGAAAGAAACAAACTAATTTTTAATGGAGAATATTATAGTTTCTTCCCTTTTGAAGTACTGTGTAAAGGAGATGTTACATTCTTAGCAATTTTATTCAAGATGTGACTTCGAATATATATTGATACTTTTCCTTTGTTCCAAACAGCTAAATAAGTTAGCTGTTTTTACATACACACACACACACATCCCACCACCATTTCCATAATTTTGCCTATGTGTAATATAAATGTTGTCAAGTTTTTCTTAAGAAAATTATCATTGTAGATCATCAATGACAATTTCTCTCTTTTTGTCAGTCATCATGTACTGCACCTTAATCAGTATATGCAATCCATTTGCTGACATATTCAAAATAAAAGGCATCAAATATTTACTAGCACGTATAATGCATTTGATTATGAATCACTTTAGTATATCAAATGACTTAAGTGAGCAGGTTACATGATACACACCAGGACAGAGTCCGACCTTGTGTGTATTATTGTAATAAAACTGATAGCAGTTATGACTAGTATTTGGATGGTAGTCATTTTAGAGCAATAAATTATTCTTGATGTAGAGAAAAACACTAAGTCAAGTCAGAAATCCCAACATATTAGTAGAGATGGTGAATTCCAGTTGCATCACTGCTGAAGAAAACAAGAAGTTGTGGTGATGTAGTAGTGATGTCAGGAGCAAAAAATTTCCTATAGGCTGAATGTAAGGAAGGAGTTAAGAAATAATACCTCTAGAATAGTTGGACTAATGTTAGAGCCATACATAATTTAACGTAAATACAAACTTCTTTGGCGAGATGCCCCCCCCCAAGTATTTGATGGCTTGTGGAGTAATAATTTTTGTAACAAACGACACAGAAATATATCTTTAAAATATGAATTAATGATCTGTATAATGTTCCTGGAAGTCCTTAGGTAATTAGTTTGTAGAATAACTTTTCTAGCCATACAGGATCAAAAGCCTTAGAAATATCAAAAAACGGTGCAGCACTGATTTGTGATTTTGAGAAACTTTAGGAAAATATGTTGTCACTCTGTACAGTTAATGGCTTGTAGAATGCTTTCTTCTGAATCAATGTTATTGTGGTACAATTACATTCATTGATTCTATAAATTTAAGCATTCTGTGCAGGACGATAGCCTCAGTGATCTTGCTCAGCATGCAGAGAAAACTTATTGGTCAATATGATGAAGGTCATACTAAAAGTGTCGTAAACAATCTAGAAATTACTAATGCAGTGCGAAAAAATTTATAATATGCCTATCGTATTTTTATGTTGAGCGTAATTTCTGTGCATTTTCATTGTTTATATACTTTTTTTTTTTATTTATATCTGGTGCATGTTTTGAGAATTTTTGAATATATTGTTTTTAAATTCCTATTGTGAAATTTATTGTTGTAGTTTTATTTCTGATGATCCATGATAGTTGCTTTGATTTTCCTTATTTTATCCTTTAATAATATGTATAATTAATGTAATTTTTAGTACAGTGAATGTATGTGATATATTATAGTTGATAATTTTTTTAAACACTTCTGCTGTTAATGTAATTTTTAAAGATGTAAGTTATGTACCTCAGTACTGAAAATCATAACAAAATCAATTTTATAACAAATTTAACATTATTTCTGTTCTGTGTATGTTTTCTAGGATATTGAAGATCAAGATATGTCAGAGGATGGTGAAAGCCCTCCACCTGAAGATAAAGTTCAAACATGGCAGGGAAATGGTCCTAGTATTCCTCAGCATCCTAGTCCTCCACCTCCTGCTCCATCAGACAGTACTGGTCCCATACCCAAGACACCAACTCAAAGATTACCAGTTCTTTCTTCCTCTGAACTTATTGTTGAAGAGCCTGTAGAACCCTCTTTTATGTCGTCCAATAATGGAAGTTCGTCGGACACTCAACACACTTCTGACTCTACATCTAGCTCCATAACAACAACTGTGTCACCAACAAATGTTACACTTAGTGAAGAAGGTGTTCAATCACAGCTTCGGAAACAGCAAATTCCAGCAGCACCTGACAGGTTGACAGAAAAAGTTGTAAAACCTTGTGATCATAATGATGAAACAACATTGTCATGTGAAAAAGATGACACAGAATTTGTAAAGACTGCAGTGGAATTTGTTTCCAGCATGGAGCCTGACAAACGAAGATTTGTCAAAAGTCATAGTGTCTCTAGAAGAAAAAATCCACAAAATTATTATTTATCTAAGAAGGATTTTTGATCTTCAAATTGAGGTTTAAAAAAGTATGTATAAATAGCATCTGTCAAGAATGGGCCTGTTGAAACTGTGTACATGCAGAGATCTGTGAGTTATTTATTTTGCAGTTTCTGCTACACTGTGGAGATGTCAAAAGATAACAGGCATAAGAAAGCCTCCTTATTTTTGTTTATTTGCTGCGTTTCTTTTGCTTATACAAAAATGAACATTTGAAATGTTCACTACCCCATGTGAATTGTAGATAAAATTTGGTTTTTAAGTCAGTTTTTCAAATATTTGTTTATAGCAATTTTCTATCTGCAATGCATTTTCAGTTGTGGACTAAGCATTGTGTATTTATTATGATACAGATCTTCTGCTGTCTCTACAGATGCTGAGATGTATAAATTCAGACTTGTGTACCTTACATGGTCTCTGTAGATGTACAAGATTGGAAAAATTTATGCAGAATCATAGCTCCATAATGTTTGAAGTGTTTCTAAAGCTATTTTTTTTAATTCTGTTTTCATTATGCTATGGCTTGTTTGCCAATTATATGAAATCACCTTGTTTGGGAAGTAATGCATTTTTTAAAATTGTAATACAATATTGATTAAGAAAATGGCATTTATTTCAAATACACCCTTCCCTCAAAATATACAAATAATAATAATAATGGTTCAAGTAAATTATCTTGTCAATAGGTACATATCTGCAGTTTACATGCTGAACAAAAATTATGTTGTCAAGATCTATCTGTTGCCTATGTTTAAGGCAAAATGAAGCATCATTGCTTTGAAGAAAATTTAAAGTTCATCAGAAAATATACCTTTAGTGAAACAGTTATAGTATGTAAAATATTTGTAATTTTGTTGCTGATTTTAGAGATTGTAATGGTGTAACGTTTCAAAAAGGAGTTGTAAACTCTTCCTGAATATTTATTTGAAAATAAAAAATATATATAGTAGTGGCAAATTTGAAAGCAAAACTTTCAAAAATACAATAGACATGGAATTTTATCAAAGTTTATGCTCATGATTACACCATGCTTTGTTTATGTCAGTACATATGTAAAGATTTGGACATTCGTAATATTCTGTAATTTAATTGTATTATCTGAAATAAAGACTAATTTTAATATTCATCTTTCAAAAATTTGAGGTTTATTATGACAGTTTACTTTTGATTTTTAACAAAAGTCATTCATATGCCATAAATAAGTCTTGTTTGTGAGTCATAAATATAATTGGTTTTGAAATTATTAGCTCCTTTCGTTTTTTTTTTTTTTTTTTTTAATATATTCTTTCCGACCAACAGCCATTTTTGATAGATCTTATAATTTTGGTTAATATTTATAATTTGTATTTATATATACAATATGGTTGTTTGTATAGATGTGTTAAAGCATTTAATTTCAAATATAATTAAATTTTTAAAACTTCCTTTTCTCCATGAGTGACCAAGTGATTAATACTCCTGAATGCCGAGAATTCAATTTCAGGTGAACGAGCTGGCGGCATGATTGGTTTTCATAATTTTCTCAAATGTGTAACTTGAATATGATCCCCTTTTCCTTAGAAAGTCTTCCACAAGTCATCCCTTCGGATGACTTGTGGAATGACTATCAGCCTAGGCTGATAGGCATTGCTTTGACATATTTCAATAACCCTTTCTAAAAAAATAAGTTTCATATACAGCAATGAAAATTATACATCCAGTTCTATTTTTAGAAGATAGATAAATCCAAAAAATAGTGCAAAAAAAAAAAAGGGCCATATTAAAATATCCTGTGTTTTACTGTGTTTTCAAAAGAAATTATATGTTCCCATAAAAATCAAGCTATCTCCTGGAAATTAGTGTTGTTATAAATTATTAGAATTTCAGTACCACTAATGCTATGAATCTCATATATCACACATATTAACCCTTTGATGGTTATGAACGAGTTCAGCTCGCAATCAAATCGTGCTTCATAATGTGCACAAACGAGTTCCGCTCGGGAGCAAGATTTTGACCGAAATAGTAACGAGCACTACTCGCGTAGTGAAATTTTTCCCCAATGCGTGCTGACGAGCTGACTTCGTTCGCCATTATTATTCTGCACTGATTGTGTTTCAAACGAATTATTAAACGAATTTAGTTAGTTTTACTGTCTACAGATGGCAGTACGAGTTCCATGAATTTCTTTGCATAATGAAGGTGGATTTTTTTTTTTGACCTTGTTCATTTTATACGTATTTTGGCGTGGTTTTTAGGGTGTTTGTACAGTAAAATGGCTCAAAAGCAAAAGTTAGATAGTTATGATGATGATTATGATTGTGATACAGAAAGCTTATCAAGTTTTGAATCTGACGAAGACTTTGTTCACAGTATTTCAAGCTCAGAAGACGATTCAAGCGATGAGGAAGATTTTTCGAGTGTTCGACAGGGGTGTATTATTGATTTAAGTTCTCACGCTCCTAGCCGATTTAGTTTTACTGGTGATGTAGGCATGAAAGCTTGCGTGACAAATATTTCTGATCCACTAGAGTATTTTGAGCTGTTTTTTACTGATGAGATTATAAATCATATTGTTACGGAAACCAACATTTTTGCTGCTGAACATTTAAATAAATTTAAGAGCAAAGAAATACTATGATGTAAACCCGATCTCGACAAAGGAAAATTTACAAGAAAATATTTTGTTATTTATTGGACATAACAAGTTTTAATGCTTTTCAGCTGTGGAAAAAAAAAGGGGGAATAAAAAATCAAATTTGGAATTCAGAATTGAACTAGCTGAAAGAATTGTTGAGAAATATCACACTCATAGACATTTGAAATTAAAACCTGCTGAAACAGTTTCGAATACTTTAAGATTGTCGGCACGCCACTTTCCTGATTATATTCCACCTACAGAAAAAAAAAAGAACCTACTAGACGATGTGTGGTACGTTGCAGCAAAAATGATGCTAATGGAAAAAGAATTCGCCGTGAAACACGTACGTATTGCAAAGACTGTAATGCCCCATTATGTGCAATTCCATGTTTTAAAGTATATCACACACAAAAAGATTTTTAGGTAATTACTGTATTTATACTGTGCTTCATAAAGTTTTACATTAGTTGTATTTATTTAGTCCTTTCAATTTAATATTTGTCTTATATTTATAATTAACTATTATTATTTATATAATTGGTTATAATCATTTATAATTTACTGTTTAATAATTATTTTAAAGTACGTAAAAATTGTTATCTATGTACTACAAATACTTTAAGAAATTTTTAAAACGTGCGAGGCAAGCTATCTACGGCATCGCCAGAGAAAGGTGACATTTTCGGAAGAACGGCGGGGGAAAACAGCTGCCACTTTCGACTACTGTTTACTTCTAATGCTGCGAATTAAGTAAACGGAAACTGCTCATTTCCATAACCGTCAAAGGGTTAAGGACTGGATCATCTCGCATCTCATCAAGGAGTTACATCATCATTCATTTAAGGGGACACGTGACATATTGACTGGTGAAATGCAACTATTTCAGGACAAGGGTTATTACGATATAACTTTTCTCAAAATAAACGTATACTCTAAATTCTTTTCTTCATTTAAAATAGACAGCTTGTACATTATGTAAAACACATAAAATGTAAATTTAAAGCTTAATGTTTTTAAAAACCAGTTGTTTAATTTCTCTTACCCTTGACGAATCTTTTGTGACAGTGTGTTAGTTTGGTACACTTTTCCTTAAAAATATTGCATCAAACTCCTTCAAATTTTGCAGTATATCATTTAAGAATAATAAACAGTATTTTACATTTTACTTAAAAAGACAAAACTATTTAAAATAAATTAGTAAAATGTTTTGAAAATCATAGAAAAATATGGTATTAAATTTTTAACATATACAAAACTAATGATCATAAATTTTATATCGTGCGTGGTTTCAAAGAAATAGTTAAGATACACAACTGTGGAAAATTTAAACTTTCTAGGCTGAATAGTTTTCAAGAAAAGTGTACCGAAAGTTAAAAAAAAAAAAATTGGGGGAAAAACTGAAAAAAACGATTTAAACACTAATAATTTATAAAAAAATCACTTTAACATTTTTCTGCACCAAAATCATCTAGAACTGGCATTTCTGCATCTAGTTGTTTTAGTTTTATTAACTTATGTTTCTTTGTGGTTATTTTAGGAAGCTTTTGGTAAGAGAGATGAGTTTCACGAATTCTATCGCAATCTATTTTCGCAAAAACTTTACCTTATAAAACCCTAGTTGTATTCCCAATAATTCCCTTATTTATTGCATTGTACACCATCATTAAAGCATATTACCGCATCTAATAAACCTAAAATTAATGTGATGACACTCACAAATACAGTTTTTGGTATGCGTGTCGAGATGCAATTATTAAAACTTTCATTCGGATTTTGAGTTGTTTTTGTTCACTTGTCTGATGTATAGCAGTGCAAGGAGCACCTGTCGTTGGTAACAGCCTTGAGCAGCTTACAGGTGACAATGTAATTTAACTCAGTTCTGCACCCAATTTTAATAGAGACCATCCCAGGGGGGATGGTTTCGAAGGTCTCCCATCCTTTTTTCCCTACCATCCACCACTCGAGAGGACTTTCGGCTCGCTGCATACTTCGGGTGTTTCCATGTCGCACGGACACTATACATTTACAAACGCCAATACCTTCTCCGAGATTCGAACCCAGGCTCTTTGGCAGTCAGCGTCGCTAACGACTATCCGGTTGAGCGGTGGGTTTTGACTTCTTCCATGAATACAGTTTGACAGTAGTTTTTTGTCAGAGAGACTTCTAAAGACTTCTCAGCTAATAAAACAGGTTCTAACAAGGAATGTTTACGAACATACTTTTTACCAGCTGATATGGCTTTATTGTTGCCACACCAAACATCTCTCCCTTCTCAACTGGTGGGCTTGCTAGTGCTTGCTTACATTTTTTAATGAAATATTTCGGTCTTAAAATTTCTAAACATGGATAAATTATATATTTTTGGAATTGTTTCAGGCTACTTTATTTTTTAGCCCAAAACTGAAAATTTTTATGTCATATGTCCCTTTAGGAGTTACATCATCACTCATTAAGGAGTTACATAATCTCATCTCTGCTTCATTTGCAGAACCAAATTCTTTCTGAAGTTTTACATTGCACAAGTTAAAACAATGCTTAAAATTCCCAAACCAACTATTGCTTGCTTGGAAATCAATTTTCGTGGATAATTGGCCATCCTTATTTAAGAGAGAGAGCGAAAAAATCAAAATCAGAAGCTTTGTTTTGAATACCAATACTATCCAGCACTGAGCACTTTTCATGTATTTCATTCCCTCCCACCTATCTTTTCCAAATATTTCTCGATACTTGAGAAGCCCTTGAAAGGCTCTTATTTTACTCTTACTTTAATCAAGGGCTTCTCAAGGCTCTTACTCTTACTTTGGCTTGAGCTAAAGGATTGCCTCAAGCCTTGATATAAGATCGAAAATTTTTCTTTAAACTTTCTCATGCAACAAACTCTATTATTGTCCTTAGGCTTGATTCGTTGATAACTTTGCAAACATTCATAAATATGTAATGACAGCTTTCCTAGCATGAGTGAAATGACAGCAACTTGACCACAGTCACTCAGCTAGCAGACAGCACCAAGCAGGATTGCCAGATGCACCCATGAGTGTTCTTTTGTAAAGAGTAATGTTGCTGTAACAAAACAGCCTATGCTTTGCAGCATACTGCATATTTATGGAATTCTAGCATTGGACAAATTAAATGAAAACAGGATAATCAGGATACATGTGCAATATCTCATTCTGTAAATCTGCACTTGACAATTCTTTAGTGTATTTAAAAGAATGTGCGTTCTCACTCTTGAGCAGTTTTAACTGGATTTTCTGCTTTACTGTTGTATATATCAGCTTTCATCTTGATCAGAGTGATGTGATATTTATTCAGTGTTGCCAGCAGGAGATATAGATGCAAAAGTTTAGGACTTGCAAATACATGAGAAGGAATGTGCTATCATGGCAGTAACCATAACCACATCAATGGCATCTGTCATCCATTTGAAGGCATTTAGTGACCTTCATGCATCCTGTAGTATTAAAGACTTACTTAAACACAATTGCTGGAAGTTGGAATTAAGTAATAGGAGCTATTA